GCTATGGTAACAAGTTACCTTAGGGTGGAGATTTCAAAGCCAAACCTCCGTTATTCCATGTTTGGTCTGTAAATCCTTATGCAACTGTGTCTTGTTTCTAGTGGACATCTGTGTGGTGCTGGCTTTCTCAGTTCCACCACTCTTCTTTATGAGTTGACTTTTGAGGTTTTCATAGTGTAATTAAGTGTCTTCTGTTTCCAGATTACTTCGTTACACAGAGAAGTAGAGAAAGTGAAGCTTGATCAGAAGAGGTACGAAACTATGATTTTGTTGAGACGATTTTGTTTCTGTTTTGCATCTTCTTGCGTTGTGATGTGGCAGATCTAGAACGTAAAAACCTCTAAATGGAGGAGGTAACATTTTCTCTTTCCAGATTGGATCAGGAACTAGACTTCATTCTGTCACAGCAGAAAGAGCTTGAAGACTTGTTGACCCCTCTGGAGGAGTCTGTGAAGGAACAGAGCGGGACTATCTACTTGCAGCACGCAGATGAAGAACGGGAGAGGACGTAAGGCAAAAATCTGCTTTGAACATGTGATGAGCCGGCTAATGTGGTGATGATCAATGAGCAAGAAAAGTAGAGTTGGGATGCATGGCAATATTGAACTATCAACAGCCTTTGTCAAATACGTAATCCTGTTTTATACATGGCAACTTGGATTTTACGCATTAGAAATAGGGGAATTGTGACTGGAAGCCCTTGAATCAGCATGAAAAGCTCTTTGGATGTTGGTCTAATCAGCTGTCTGGGAGAAGGTTACTAATTTTGGCATAATCTCTGAAAATTAGCGATTACTTAGTGATAGGAGTGATAAGAGCAGGATGCGCTGTGACTGGCTCAAGCACCCTTGTAAGCCTTGAGTGTTGAGTCGTAGCAGGGTGATTCAGGGAAGTGTCTGTCTGGTTCAGGAGAGATGAATCTTGAAGAATCCAGACCAGCTGGTTCTTTCAGTTCTGACAAAACCTTCCAGAAAGCCCTCCGCGCTATTGCTTGTCTGTCTCCATGTACCTGTCAGGACAGAAAGGTCAGGAGTTACTTCCTCTGTGTGACAGAATGCCTCTCGTGATGCTGCTCCCACGTCTCTGCCAGTCTTGGTTGGAAGGCATGGCAGCTAATTCTGATTGCCTGAAGTTGGTGTGACTGGGAGGAGGTCTTCTGAAGTCCACTTTAAATATTCTGACCTTGGTTCCTGTGTATTTTGCAGCTATAAACTGGCTGAAAACATAGATGCTCAGTTGAAGCGTATGGCACAAGATTTGAAGGACATCATTGAGCACTTGAATACATCAGGAGGCCCAGCAGACACGAGTGACCCGGTAAATCCCAGCTTTATTTTTTT